CATTGTGGAGATCGAGATCCTGCTCAGCTTCTCGTCGCTTTCTTTTGCATCCGCCGCAGCCCGCTCGCTACCCAGCTACCTCTGCTGTGCCACGCGAGCGAGTCTCGTCCACGATCGCAGACCACCCCGGCCCATACGTGCCAAAAGACTCACCAACTGATACCTTACGCAGTATGCTATTCGACATACCCGCCGAGGCATTTACAACCAGACATCTCCTTGGGACCGCCTTTTTGCCCCGGAGGACGGGGGCTTTCGTCCCAGCCCGGCCCGCTCCTTGTGCTCTCCTGGCTCCTGCTACGCATCGTCTCCGAGTTCCCACGTCCGTCGCTTTGTCGCCCCCAATTCTCAACGTCCTCCGGCCATCCAGCAAACACGCTTCTCAATCGAGGCATTCACCCGCGCCGCTTGCTCACCCGATCGGCGAATAGCCCACGTTCCCCTGTATTCCTCAATTCCTTCCGTCGGCATGTCGATAGTGCTCAACCTCGTTCATCATCCATTGGTAATGATCTTCATGCCTTGCCGACACCAGCTCTCAGTGTTAACACGAGGCAATCAAGTCGCACTCAGTCAGCGAGCTGCCAGGGACCAGTCTATGGGCTGATGTCAGCGCACGTTGGTCTTTTGTGCACTTTTTTCGAGACCACCGACCGAGGCTCCCTTGGATTGTTCTCGGGTCAATCATTGTCCAGCGCGCACCCGCCGCATACAACAAACCATTTCGTTGTCAAACCAATGCGCCGTGGCGGGCACCGGCAGCCACCCGGAACCGATATTGCGGCTGCTTGGAGAATCTCCCTCTCTTGCACGGCCATTGACTTGATTCTGTAGGCCTTCAAGCTGGGCAGCAAGTCTCGCGTCTGTATGACTCTTGTGCACCTCCACGTGTGGCTGGACACACTCCGTACGAATACCTGCCAATCGACGGACCAATCGATGGAGCGGTCATTTGCAGCTCTACAGCTTTGGGCCATTGGTGTGGACGCCGCACAGTAGGTATGTGACGCTGAATCCGGGTTCATGTTTGCTTGTCAAAGGCAAGGGCCGCACGCCCGGGGTGCGACCGGGGTGGGTGGCAGCAAATCGAGTTGGATAAAGTTCAGCATATCGTGCACATCTCCGGATGAGAAGAAGGGCGAACCCCCGGGACCGGTACGGAGTACCTGGATTTCGGGCCACATGTTCGGATGGGACACAGATATGCATGTCTTTTAGACGGTGGTCTCGGTTGTCAACGAGCATCGCCAATCGGCGTCGACACGACCGGCGCGGTGAGACAAGATCAGTCCTTTGCAATTCGTTTTCCATTCTCTGACGTTTCTCTAGTGGCGCTGCTGCATTCCACCACCTGCCGGTCACCTCTCACCCGCGTCCGCCAACCGAGTCGACGGTTCCCATCGCCAACCGCGGGCGATTGCAGCGAGATGCCTCTGTGCTGGCCGTCCAACTCCAGCTGAGCTGTCGTCAAATCAACCTCTATCAACTGCAGGGCTGTCCCTCGGGTGTACTGTACGATTGGGACTTGATGAATTGTTCTTGTGGCGGCCAACAATGGGAATGTGACGACCATACTCGATCCAAGACAAGCGAGCCAAGCAAGTGTATCCGTACCGACACTCAACGCCAGCTGTTGGCTGTTCGCGTATCTTGCCGTACATCTTGGCGGCGAGAGTCGAGGTCCCGGACTCAGACTCGTTCCATTGTGGGGTCATGTTCGGATATATTCACGCCCTCTTGTCGCTGTTCGCACTCGATGTCGACGTCCCCACACACACACCAACCGTCAACCCCGCTCTTGTTGGTTCTTAGCTGTTGGTGATTGTGTTCAACCTCTCGCAGGGGTCCAGCAGCGACGCCACAGGGCTTTCCTCCGCTAAGAACGGGTTAAACGACGGGTCCGTCATCCCGCCAATCTAGCTCTGACAGTGACGCTCGGTCCATACACTGGCGTTATTGTTTTTTTTTTTTTTTTTCACCTTTCAAGGCACTACTGTATAAGCCTTGCCGTTTCGGCCAGCACTTACTTCCAACGACGGCGTCGATTCAGTCAAGTATGCCTCATAGCTACGGCCGTTGCAATGGAGCAGTGTCTCGAACCCCCTCTTTCGCGCCTCTAAAGTCGCTCTCGCTCCATCGCCGTCGACTACGATGAGAAAACACGGCAACGAACGTACGGTACCAGCATGGCGGTACCTTGAGTGCCTGATACGAACCGCCGTTGGACATCATCTATCACACACATCTGCTTAGGCTGCAGCAAACAATAGCCCGCTTACACCAAGACGAGCGGAAAGGCTCCGACCTCTCGTACCTCGGTCCTGTCGTGGCTCATTTCCGCATCTCATCTTTGCACTGTCCGGTGACAGTCGCTCGGGTCCGGACCAGGGCCCTGCCAACGCATGCATTTCCTTACAATGGCAAAATGCCCGCTTCCAACAACCCAGCCGCCACCAATCACCAACTCTGCATCCTACCCTCCACCGCAAAGAGGACCACAACAGGTCAGCGAGGCGCCGCTGGTTATCTGCGTGCCTTGCGTCGCCATCTACGCATCATGGAATTCGCCAATGCCGGTGGTGGGTGCCACAGGCGAGGCCGGGATGCTCTACCGTAATCTCCAACTACCGCCATCACTCGCCGTCCTACGGAGCGGCGTTGATCACGGAATCCGGCCGGCGTTCTCAAAAGGATACGCTCCTCTGTGTGGCTGCAGCCATTTCTCCTAGCGCCCAAGGTGACGGCCTGCAATGCCGATTTGGCTCTGTCACGGCGCATCTGTCAAATCACCTAAAGAACTGGGTTATCAATGATCCTTGACCATCCAATGAGCGCGCGATTCCATTGCATTTTGGCTCGCGGTTGTGCGATGCCCCAGCGTCCGTCGTTGGCAGCCCCCGCATTGCACCCTTGCGGACTCCTGACATCTGAAACGCATAATGGTAGGGCACCGTCGCGTGGCAGTCTTTGATTGCGGACACATGCAAGGAGGTGCAGAATTGTTCTGGAACGTTTCCTGAGACATTCGTTACGTTGTTCGAGCTGGTTGATGGCCTAAATGAAGAAGTCAGGACAATTGGCCTTGCTTTTGACGGCGGTCATCTTTGCTTGGTTGTGTACCGTGGTCGCCGCAGACCCGCCGTCTCCCAACCACAGACACGATTCTGACCGTCGATTCAAGGAGGTGAGTCTCTCGAGCTTGGTCTGCTGGCATAGAGTGTGATCATGTGTTGTCCAATGCCTCCGAGTGAGTGACACAATGATTTGCCGCTTATTGCCTACCTTACATGCTTGCCTGTTTCTGCCATTGCTCTTCTCTGCCTACCTCTCTACTCTATGTACTACTGAACAAGAAGTATTGAAGGGAACAACGGTAATAATAGTAAAACGAAGAGAATGGCACTAATTATGTCTCATATGATTGCTGTCGGATATTTACTGGTCTGACCACATCATATATGGAGGTTGCTTTCTCACAGAGGAAATGCTTTCTTCCTTATTAGATCATAGGCAACAGCGATTCGCCGTCGCTGTATAAAGACTGGAGCCGATGCGAATGTCACGACGCATGCAAGAATGGCGTTGTCGGACGAAGCTTGGTCACTACGGAGGGACAGAACTGTCTCGAGCTTTCTGGCTAGACTACAGTAGTTCACTCTCGAGGCATCAAACCAGGATCCACGTCAGCATCTACACGTTTTTAATGTGCCATTTCTTGTATCAATTTCCTCGGGAGTTCAATTCGGTGCATGATTACAATGTGGGCATCAAGGATGCGTAGTAGACATCGTTCATCCTAAAATATAAGCCCTAGAATGGAAATGGTGAAGGTTCTGTCCGCTGGCCTCAGTTGCATTTATATAAGTCACGTGAAGAGCGTTGTGTCACTGGATACTTGATGCCATTACGAAAATGACCCGCCCTGCAGTCAGAAAGCCGCTGTAGGGCTACACTAGGAAAAATAGAAGCATATGAGAAGTTCCTCTCTTCTACCATGACGTTTTCGTCACCATCGACAAGCCGCCTGTGGTCCATGTAACATCGTCACGTAGAATCAATAGAGAAAAGAGGAACAAGCTTAGAGCCACAATCGTGACTTGGACGTGGTTAGCGTTGAAACTGCATATATAAGCGGGCCTTAAGGGGTGAAACAGTTGGCCACGTTCGACGATGAACTCAAAGACACAACGGTTCTATTTACCTACGGAACCATGTCCTTTGAGATGCGTAATCCCGATACTTGTCCAAACGACGAGACAGCACCGGGAGCAAGATGCAACATGAAGCAGACATACAGATAATAACTACCATAGTTTTATTGACACTAGTTCTACGTTACTAACTCACACCATCGGCGCACGCCTCCAATCATTACTTTGAGGACGTACGGAGCACTGGATCTTGGCTTCAAGACACCGTCCCGATCGGCCTTGGCAGAGGTTCAACCGGCCATCGACCGACTGTTTTTTAATCTCGAGGTCCCGCGAGCTAGGGCCAAAGAATGGTCGCATGAACAAGATCACTTGGTCTCGGCCTCAAAACACCATCTTTATCGGTCTTGGTTGGGGTTGAACCGCTCGTCCATCAGACGCATATTAAAAAAACAACATAGGAATTCATCATTTCCGGGTCCCGCCTCAAATGATTCCGAGAGGCGCTGTCGTTTCTGTAATCATAACGAGCCCATGGACCGCGCGACAAGTTGTGAGGCTTTACCAAATTCTGTCGAAAGGATCTGGTCCACGGGAAACCCTTTGACAATACGTACCTCCACTCAGCTGCTGTCTTTAAATCAGGAGCATCAGCGGAGGTGAAGCGGTGGCCAATCTGGGCATAGAACCAGCTGCGTGTGGTCCTCAGCAGCGGCTTGTTGGCACGACCGTAGATGAGAATATACGCCCACCCCATTCATCGAAAGAGGGCTGCTGCGGACAGAGGTCCATGACGTGCTCCTTGGCGTTGCAGAACGGGCAGCCCATCAAATCACCTCTGGCGTCGGGTCAAACGCAATCCAAGAGGTGATGGCCCCGGGCCGAGCAACTGCCACAGATAATGTTGGCGCATTGTTCGTTCCTCTGCTGGAAGTCGTAAGGTTCCCTAGAACCCATCCTCCGGAACATGATGTGAGTGTGTGGATCTGGCCTGGACTTGTAGACATGGCGGTTGTTATTATTGGTTTTACCACGGTTATTGTTTCGCGACCGTTTGTTTTTTTGTCTTCTCGATTGCTGAGGATGGGATTTGCTGGCAGGGACAATAGCCATGTCTTCCGGCGACTCTCGGGAAGGCACAGGATCATCCATTCCGAACCTTTGCACAACTTGGCGATCATTGTCTTGGGCAGGGGCCTGCCGAACTGTCTTGGGGCTAGCCGGTCGCGCCACTTGGCGATTGCTGCCTTTCAACTTGTCGGTAACCTGTCGACCAGTCTCCACTCCAGGACTCACTTCGCTCTTGATCTGTATAGATAAAGCACGACTAGACCTGGCGGCTGATTCCGTCGCACCTTGCTTGGGTGAAGGGGGGAGTGGAGGTACCGATGCCAGAGATGTCGGAGGAGGCGGCTCCAGAGGTGGTAGAAGAGACGGCTCTAGGGGCAGTGGAGGAGGCATTCCGGAGGGCGCTGGAGGCACGTCCGAGGACGGTATAGCAGAGATCGCAGGTATTTCTGGGCCTCGCAATTGCGAGGACGGGGGTCCTGGCACGAAGCGGACGACACAAGTGAAGACTTCCCCATTGCCGTGCTCCATCATCTTGTCGAGCATTTTGTAGGCCTGCTCGCGTGACCCGTACGAGGCAAATGCATCGTCCGCTATGGAGTCGACGACTACTTGGTCGGGGCGTTTTTTGGTGACTTGGCTGATGCCATCAGCATCAGCGGTGACTTGGAGACGTCCAAACACAGGTTCGGCTGGGGGAGAGGATTGCCGGGCCCTTTTGCAATCTTGGGCTTCATCCGAGAGAGAGCGTTCTCGTTTGACTGCGCGCCGAAGCGCGCCTTCAGATTTCATGATTCACTGAACATACGATCAGAATTAGAACCCATTGCGTACCGAATCATACGAGTTTTACTTAATTTCACTTGACAAGACAAATTGTGGTGTTTGTGTCAATAGGGAAGGGTGGAATGTGGGGGACGGAATCTGGGCTGGGAAGAGGAAATATGGAAAGTGTTGGAGTATGTGGAAGGTGAAAGAGGTGAAGTTAGAGAGTAGGAGAAATAAGAAAATCAGACGGTGGGAGAGTGAAAGTGGGCAGCTGGAAGAATATCTGAATATGGCGGTCTCTTTTCACGTGAGGTTCGTATTCGTTAAGTAAACTACCTTCTGTAGAGAAGACAGTCTTCGAATTCTTGCACACTTAAGGTACGTAATGATGATAAGTGACGCTTCGACTGCCTTAGTTCGTGGCTTCGCCTCATCAACACCTCTCATGCCATTGCCTTGTCTTTCATCGCTGGGAAATTGATTTGACGAGGCAGTTATCTTGAACTCCTGCTCTTACCTACATATGAGCCGAATGAGCAGTAGGGTGGGAAACTGAGATGATCAGTGGTAGCCGGTTCATTCCCTGGGCACGTGACAGGGAAGGAGGAAGGAGCCACCCTAGCACCTTCCACCTGGTTCGTCGGCTCCCACAACCTCAAGCTATGCCTCAAGGTTCCCTGACGCCACAGGTGAAGCCTATATAGGTCAGACCAATTCCATTCCTGTCACCAGCACAGCAGGCGCCCGTCTAGGTCGACGGGTCAGGTCAAACTGTGGCGTGGTGGTGGAATGGTTAATGGTCAACAATCGATTTACGCCAACCAGCCTACTCGACGACAGGCTTAGCGAGTATCCGAGTTCGAGTCCCAGAAATTGCGCCAGAGATGTAGCCCCCAGTTCAGCACCGGGGGGTCGAACTCTTTTGCTATTCTGTTGTATGAATAGAATTGACTTTTTCTTTGGGCCATGCTCAACCCGCCTTTTTCCCAGGTCGGCTATATGTAGAGGGATAAACGTAAGTACGGCCGAGGTAACGGTACCACTAAGGACACAAAGATTTAGGAGGCGTACAAGCGTCAGTCAAGCGGGTGGGATTTAGGACAAAGATTTTGAATGTGGGAACGAGAGATTTGTGATGAATTGCAATCTCCTCCCTTTCGAACTAGAACATTTTACCCTCCAGGCTATGATATGGCTTATCAAAAAGAAAAACTCAAAAAACCGAATAGACCAGGGCATTGAACCGACTGAACTTGCCTTATCTGCGCATCGAATACGAATTCATTCGTCAGGGCCATCATACGGCAAACAGGTAGTCAAGAAGACAGGCCTGGTGTCGGCTTGGCACGGTGAAGTGGGGCCGGCAACGGCGGTGGATGTACCCCAGTCAATGGCATCAATAAGGTACGTGGTATTCCCTGCATGAGAACCCGACTCTCTAGGCGCACCGGTCTTGGAGAGCCTGCAGATCGAGCCAATGTTGTTGCGTCGGTAGGAACCCAAGAATGACGCATTAAAATGGTGATGGCTTGTTTCTCGCTTGAAGTAGGTAAGATAGTACGTGCTGCTGCCTGCTTTAGCGCATCTTCTTTGAGCAGGTCGGCGGATCGCATATCCGACCTCACCTCCTATTTCCGAGGGTTGTCAGCCAGAAACCGAGCAACGCTGACATATAGAAAAGACAGACGAGCCCTTCTAATTGTTCATTCATACTGCCTCCAATAGCTTTGTTTGCGCGTTGCTTGATCGTGCTCCCCAGGCTGCAGAAACAGGCGTATCCTCTGCCATCAGTCGACTGCCGTTTGATATCCGGCACGCCATTGCCATTGAATGAGAACACAATCAACACTATTCCTCAACGAGAATTACCATGGCGAATCCTGCTCAGCATGACAGTGGTGTAGTCTCGGTGGCACCGAGGTCGGTCGACTTGGAGTTAGCCCCCCTTCCGGACCCGGCACCGGCCGCAACTGCCCCCGCTCCGGTCGGTCCCACCCCGTCAAAGGACTCGGATCCTTTCTTAGTCACCTTTACGCAACCGCATGACGCCGAGAACCCTCTCGACTGGCCCGCGGGTCGGAAATGGATGGTCACCGATGTGCTATCGGCCACCGGTTTCAATCGCATCATGGTTTCAACAATCATGGCTCCCGCCCTGACGAACATTGCGGCGGAGCTCGACATGACCTCCACCGAGTCCGCCATGGCGTTGTCCATTTATCTCCTCGCCACCGCATTTGGCCCCCTCGTCATGGGGCCAATGTCTGAGATCTACGGTCGACAGGTCGTGCTCCACGCCTCGAGCGTATGGTTTCTGATATGGAACGTGCTCTGTGGTTTCGCAAACACCAAGGGGACGCTTATTGCCGCTCGCTTTCTGGCGGGCTTCGGCGCCAGTTCCATTTACGCACTCGGAGGCGGAGTCCTGGGCGACATCTGGCGCCCTGAACAGAGAGGCCAGTCTCTGGGGTTCTATCTTCTCATACCCCTGCTGGGTGCGGCCGTTGGTAAGTTGACCCAATTTCGCTCCTAACCAAGCTAACCCCTTCTAGGCCCCATCATTGGTGGCTTCATTGCGGCGCGCACGACGTGGCGATGGATGTTCTGGTCCACTTCCATGTTCCAAGCTGTCATGATCTTTGTCTCCTTCTTCAGCTTCCCGGAGTCCTACAGTCCGCTCATCCTACGCCGGCGGGCTGCTCGTCTCCGCAAGGAAACCGGCGAAACGAGATACTACACGTTCAGCGAGAGAATCGACGCTGGCAAGTCCACTTTAGCAGTCATAAGAAACTCCCTGACAAGACCGCTTCGTCTGCTTCTCTTCCATCCCATTATTCAGGTGTCGGCCGTCCTGTCGGGATTCAACTATGGTATCCTGTATGTCACGCTGTCGACCTTTGCAGACATCTGGAAACAGCAATATGGCCAGTCTGTGGAAATTAGCGGATTGCACTACATCGCCTGCTCTTTTGGAGAGCTTGTCGGGTCTCAATTTGGTGGACTGATACTGGATCGCTTGTATAAACGCCGAGACCAACCTACGCCAGAGTCTCGAGTCATGCTCGCATTCTTTGGTATTGTTCCGGCCTGGCTGGGGACTGTGTTTTACGGCTGGACAGCACAGTATCGCCTCTACTGGCTGATAGTCGATGTCGGAGTTGTCGTTATGATGTTTGGCATGCAGCTTAGTGGAATGCCTAGTGAGTTTGATCTGGTCTATTGGTGACATGACTGACAAGTTATCAGTGACGGCCTACGTGATCGACGCGTACGCAGAGCATACCAGTAGTGCCATGGCAGCGATTCAGTTTGTCAAGAGCTTGACTGCTTTTCTGTTCCCGTTGTTTGCCCCGAGTATGTACCATGCACTCGGATACGGCTGGGCCAATAGCTTGATGGCCCTTGTCGGCGCAATGCTTGCCGTCCCTCTTCCCATCTTCATCTGGAAGAAGGGGGCCCAGCTGAGAGCCAGGGCGATTTCGACGTACTGAGTGGTATCCCTGTATCGTAGACCTCAGCTATCTACCCAGCCAGATCTTCTACCAAGCTGAGATCTACTCGATCTTGTATACCTCATAAGCCTAATGAGTTACTTTGCCGGAGCTGCTGGTGCCTTTCATGAGTACATCTACGAATGCGACCAAGATTCTGACGAACAAGGCTTTTATGAAGACTTCTACGAGGCGCATTTTGAAGAGGCCGATGTAATCGAGAGTGCCATCCTCGAGTTGGAAGAAATCGTTAGGCGTAGGGCTAATCGGTCGGGAACCCCGGGGAACAGAGATATATAGATTCTGTGTTTCAAAACACGACACCGACAATGATCTATACTAAAGGAAGTTCTCCCGCTTTCCCTCGTGGCTTTCTCACAAGCTGGGAATTCTGCCATGGTCATTCAGCAGGTGATTACCAGGGCATTCGGAACCAGAGGCTGTTGTTCCTCTGTGTGCTGCCACCGAGCGTTTGTTTCGACTTGATCAGCTCGATGCCTTCTATCCCACCTCCTGTTCCCGTCCGGAGGAAATGAGCCTAGCCGAGAGGCGAGAGACCACATGCCTGCTCCGTCTTATACACTATCTATATTTTACGTATTATTATTCTTGGTATCACACTGCGCTTTCTGAAACGTATTTCACAAGGAATACATAAGAGATAAGAAGCAATTACGGCGATAGTATCAGTGGTAGCAGCAGTAATAGGAATAAAAGGAATAAAGCTAAGGTCGGTTTTGAGCAGTGAACCATCGCGCTGCCTACTAACTTTTCAAGATGCCTTGGAAAGCACAACCTTAGAAGATGCCTTACCCTGCGAAAGTACCTACCTCACGTACCTATCTCATGCACCCTCCTCGCTTGGACATACCTCTCTTTCCCTAGGTAAGGTATCCACCTACCTTAGGTACCTTACACCAACGCATCAGGTTTTCTCCACTGCAACTTCTCTGGAAAGATTTCAACAACGTCAACAAACGAAAAACAAGTTACATTCAGCAAGACTTCCCAGGTAAGTGCGACGAATGACGGGTTGATTCAGTCATGGATTCACGTCACAGAATGGCATTCAACGGCAGCCGCGGCATTGACGCCAACGACAAGGACGACCAGGAGAGATTCGACATTGTCCTTGCTCCTTACCGCAAGAACAGAAGACTTCTCAGAGTCAAGAGCCTCCCGTTTGCGGAGACCAGGGCCCGCGTCGAGGCCTTCCTCGATTCGAAGCTCGCCAAGCCGGAGCTGAGTCGCCCGTCGGGTCATGATGGAGTCGTGTTCCTCTCGTTCAGAGAGCGCAACGACTGTGTCAGGACCGATCGAGACCTCAAAGGGTCATGTACCCAGGACCAAGAGGCACCCGCGAGTTGATCGTCCAATTGAACAGAGGCAGAAACCTCGTAAGTTCAACTTCGTCTACACACAACACGCTTTTCTAACTGCGTATCTGCTATTCCAGCCGCTGCTAGACACGGGCTTCGTAATTCCAATGCAGCCAGCAGCGCTGCGGAAACGCCTGAGAAACAGATGCCCCGTCCTGTCTCATCCACGGGTCCCACAGTCGAAGTTCCGTCTCTTTCCCGAACAGCTCAGCAGCGCAAATGCCACTCCCCGTTCCATCCCCAGGCCCCACAGCCACACTTCCATCTGCTTCCCGAACAACTCAGCGATATGACTTTGACATGGCTCGACGAGCCTTCGACTATATTGAATCAGGACTCGCTGCTCCGACTGACGCTGAACGCATGCGGCTTGCACAAGAGTTCTTGACCAACGAGATGAAGATCAGATCGGAGCGATATGGTAACGATGATGGTGCGACCTCAGAGACCTCCGGCGCTGTCGTTTCCTCCACGCCCCTTCTTTCTTCTCCTGCTCCTGCTCGCAAAGCCGATGGCATTTCTTCCTCTGGTGCTCCGACGGTCCTGACGCTCAATCCGCGCCCAGCAAATTCTACTGGCACATCCTCTCGGACAGATTTCCAAACCTGGAAAGCCTTCATCGGTGCCTTGAGTGATTCAGACGATGATCATGAGAATAACGTTGGCGCCAGACTTGGTTACGATTAAACCGAGGCTTCGATTCCTTTCCCTCGGAAAACTTTCGCAATATCGATCTATACATCGTCGGATTCATTCACCTGCTATGATGGCTCTGACCTCTAGCTCGTTGCGACGAAGCGTCTCGACTACTCGACAAAAGCCGCTGGGCGAAAGCCTGAACCTCACTTCTTACTAGGCGAAAGCCTGAAGTTCAGCTTCTTGTGGGGCGAAAGCCTGAATTAAGGTTGAAAATCCTTGGACCGCAGTCCTAAAGTTATCCTGGCGGCCCCAGAGTAATCTACGGGTAGGGTTCGATTCCCTAGCGATTCACTTCTATGCTCTTGTGGACGGAAACTGTATATAGTTCTCAGACTCACACGAGGAAGTAATGGCGGTGATTGGAACATGAAAAGAGTGTTTCCATATGGTCTGTGGTCATATCGAGGCCACTTGATCTTGTCTATGGTCCCTCTGGCTATCATCTCGTCTTTGTCATCTATCTTTTGAAATAACGGCTGTCTTTTTTCTGGATAATACTGATGAAAGAATAGGATAGAGAGTCTGAACGACGCTTGATTAAGGTATGTAGGCTTCATCATCATAAACCTAGATCTAACGATTCTTCGGATCCAAGGCTCTGCTGCGGCATATCCCGCCATCGTACGCAAATCAGGTCATGACCAACAATGTCAGCCATCCGACCAACAAGAGATGGGACGACTTCCGCCGCCACAGCCAACACGTGCCTCCGTCACAGCACTGCGGATCACCGACGCATGATCAGCCGCAGTCGAATTGACTTTGGTCACTACCAAAGTGCCCAATCTCAGCCACACCGAGCAGAATTCGACGACTGGGTGTTAACACTTTCTCACCGAAACAACCCGGCTGAGCCACTCGACCCAAGTCTTTGTGATGACCTTCGTTGCTGACCAAGGCCGACATCGTTGCCCCTCCCGACAAGCTCGAGCCACCACCTCCTCCTCCTCCTCGCTCTCGCCGAAAATACTCCCATCAAACAACTCTCATGGGGCTTGCCAGCCAGATAAACCCCGAAACAGAAGACTTGGGGCCACAAGCTGAATGCACATTCAAAGTTTCAACCGGCCCAACAAGGCTCGCGTCAGCAGGGAGAACTCGCATGCTATGCGCAGACGTGAGGGGGCAGCCTCATCCCGCATAGGCCACACGCTGTCCCGCTGGGGAAACCCGGCCAAACTCCAGACTCAATCGACCAAAAGCAGCCTCGGCTCTGACGCCATTCACCTCACTGCCCGCGAGCTGAGTCGGGGGAGACACCACCAAGGGCATCTCGTTTGCGCCGGGCGTCTCATCCGAGCCTGAGGGGCCTGGATGTTCCTAGCACGACACCACCAGACTGACTCTCCACAAGGAGCTGCGTTTGAGGGGAAAGACTAAACGGTGGCGATGGAAAACTATCTATTGAAAAAAAAACTCGGGGGACGGAAAACACTGCAAGTCTCGTCATCGTCACCCTTCACCGACCACCGACAATGGACCAACCACTCAGCAAGCACATGGCGATCGACAAGCCGACACAGGAAAAGTTCTTTGAGGTGCGGTCGCCCGCCAGCTTCGCGGCGCGGATGTGGTCGCGCAACTACAGCGGCGTGCCCGTCGTGCCGGACGGCGACGTGATCCTCGTCGTAGGACTCAGCGAGGAGACAACAGAGCTGCGCGTAGACTCGCTCATACTGAAGCGGGCGTCAAGGGTGTTTGGCGCGATGCTGGGGCCGCGCTTTTCCGAAGGGCAGAAGCTGCTGGACAGGGGATCAGAACCCGTCAAGATCAGCCTCCCGGACGAAGACCCCGAGATCATGGAGCTGATCCTCAACATCCTGCACCACCAGAACTCGCGCGTGTGCCAGATCGCGGCAGCGGACTCGATCCTCGAGGTGGCGGTTGTCGCCGACAAGTACGACTTGATTGACGCGCTCAAATACGCGTCGCAAACCATGCTGCACTACCACGAGCCGTCGATTGACCACTTGACGGTCGGCGACTTGTGGAGGCTAGGCCTGGCGGCGGGCCTGCTCAACGAGGCCAAATCATTTGAGAAGATCACCCGCATGCTTGTCTGGAACCACACGGTGCCGTACATACAATTGGTGGACGCGGAGGACGTGGTCGACATCGAGTTTGCGCTGCGGATGTGCTGTAAGTCGGGTGCTCTCCCGGGGGTGTTCGGACTAACGAGTGACAGATCTCCTTGAAAAGGAGAGACAGGACCTGAAGACGTCGTTGCTGATGCACCTCTTGCCCATCATCTCGACCGGTAACCAACTCCGGCTCGTCGAGATCAAGGTCGATTCGGTCGAGCACTTTGACGCGTGGCCGGAGCTGATGAAGTTGTTCGGGGCCAGTCTCAAGGAGACGACAAAATTCGCCGAAGGATTGGTCTTGGCGGACCGGAGCCGTCGCGCTGCCGGACCCAGTTCGGACTTTATGAGGCACTTCAAGGCCCGCGGAGGCATACGCCTTGCGGATGCACGGCGTGGGCGAGACTGAGATTGTGCATCGCGGACGGACGCCGTTCTAGAACATGTTGTCATTTGATCGATCGTCATTTAGCTCCAGCGGGACCAATTGCATGGGTTAGGCAGGGTGACATTGAAATTCGAGTTTGTTTTCGACGCCACAACAATTGACAGCCGAGGCTCGCCTTTGGTGATTTGCAGCCGCTCGGTCAAAGGCCGTGGGCCGTAAAAACAAGACAGAAACAGTGCGCCTCTGCGGTCTGCCAAGTCTCGAGTTCCGAGGTTGAGTTGATAAGCAAAGGGTGGATCTGTGACGGCACGATCGAATGGGACTCTCGCATGGTCTTTCGAGACCCAGATTTCATGGGCTGACCAGTCCGGAAGAGGGATGCGGCGGTCCAGGCAATCAAGCAATTTTACAGATTTTCGCAAGAGCCGACGGCTCGGGAGCCAAGCAGGCCAGACATGCAGGGGCCCTCCCGGACGCCACAACTGCGTGCACTTCGTAGATTCGGTCCCGATGGGTACGGAGTAGTGGGCCGGCTCCGAATGCCTTTACTTTGTAAATAAGAATAAGGTGTCAAAGGCTAAATCAGAAAAAGCCCTGCTTGTGCAAGTCAACGGCGTCGATGTATCCGTACGACTGACTACTGTCGATGGTCGCTCGGCCGATGCACCGAATGCTTGAATCGACTGGTTGGTTCGCAACCTCTTATCACCGGGTGTCCAGATCTGGGAGGTCCGTAGAGCGTAGCGCCAACAGACGATAAGCCCCTGGTTAGTAGTTTATCCGTCATGTCGTTTGCTGCACAGCTGCACCTGCATCGTATGTTGGTGGGATGCCGTTCGGACGGCGTTGGTGGTCGACGATGATGAATCCCATGCCATGAATCAGTCAAACATATTAAAAGAGTCGGCCTCCTCGCAGTAGTCCGACTGCGAGTGCGTGCGCGTTCGTTTGGGGGTGAGACGAAGTTGAGCAAAGTCCGAAATGTCCTGTCTCAAGGCTTTGTAATGAGAAAATAGGGGGACAGACTGATACCTAGTCGAAGGGCTCGAGGCCAATGGTCTCGAAATCCGTTGGAGTTGGAAGGGCTGCACCTCGGCACGGTGGCCAGGTCCGCCGACATCCCGGTTGGTGGGTCCCCGTTAGCGAGCCGCCAGCCCATGAAATATCGTCTCTGGCACGTTGCCTCGGCGAACTAGGCCCGGTGTGGCCGTCCCTTGGTTTCGCTAAACCACGTCATTCCGCCGTGCATGCGGCGCAAGCGGGTACGTACCTGAAAGAGAAAAAAACGGACGGAGGAAAGAAGAAAAGCTCTGCTCCGATCAAAGTAGAGATCCACTCTGCAGACCTCAGCTTGCGTTCGTCCATTCCCTGCACAGCAAACCACCTGCCATCGCATATCTGACAAAGCCAAATCGTGCGGCTCCTGGCCTAATCCCGTCTTGTGACTCCTGTCAGATCCCGCGCCAAGTATTGTATCAGACTGCCTGCAAAGCGTTCGATCCTAACCCGAGCCGGAGATAAGTGACCCTCCGCTGGTTCGTCCCCGTCCTCTACGACCGACTCCGTGCGGTTTAGTCATGGGAAATGGGCGTGCGGAAGACAAACCGCCCGGGTGGGCTTGCACCGGTGGATCAACACCACCCCCCTGGCCGATGGAGATGGGTGTGTGTGTTGATATGGGCACCGACGAAGGGGATGGAAATCTCATTGGAAATCCCCACCCAAGGCCAAGTCCGGCCTACGCAGTATATAGACGATGGGCCGTCCCAAGTCTCCGGATTACGGATCAGATCTCTCGCTCATCCGACCTAGACTTCAGCGCCTATCGTAGCATCAACGACGATCGTCATCCAAGCACAGTCCAACACTAGATAAGCTTAATACCCACGAGAACAGCCAGCCAGCCGCCAGTCACCATGGCGTCGGCGCCGCACTCATCATCATCGTCCATCACGGCGACCGAGGCCGATGTCGAGGCCCAGAAGCCCGTGAACAAGGCCAACTACTTTCACCTCCTCTTCGACCAGGCCGGCGTGACAGAGGCCGTCCTCCAACGGAAATACCCCGGACAAGGCACCCACGAGGCTCCCTTTGTCGTTGACTTCCTCCCCGAGGATGCCCACAACCCCCAGACCTTCCCCAAGTGGAAGAAGTGGACTTACACCATCGAGCAGGCCATCGCCACCCTGGCCGTCGCCTTTGTGAGCACGGCCTTCTCTGGAGGTATCGCAGAGGTCATTCGCGACTTCAAGGTGTCGACCGAAATTGGTATCCTGGGCGTCTCCCTCTTCGTTGTTGGCTTCGCCGTCGGTCCTCTCATGTGGGCACCCCTTTCTGAGCTGTACGGACGTCAGTATCTCTTCATCGCCACCTACATCGCCCTCACTGCCTTCAACGCCGGTGCCGCCGGTGCGCAAAACATTGAGACGCTCATCATCCTGCGCTTCTTCGCCGGCACCTTTGGTGCTTCGCCCATGACCAACGCCGGCGGTGTTATTGCCGACATGTTCAACGCCCAAGAGCGCGGCCTGGCCACGGCCATCTTTGCTGCCGCTCCTTTCCTCGGCCCGTCTATTGGTATGCTCCTTTGCCCGAGCCTGTAAGTCCCAGCTAACCATTATAGGCCCCATTGTTGGTGGTTTCCTCGGCGTCGCGGAAGGCTGGCGCTGGATCGAGGGCCTCATGGCCATCTTCACCGGTGTCGTCCTCATCGTCGTCGCCCTGACCGTCCCCGAGACGTACGCGCCCGTCCTCCTCCGCCGCCGCGCCGACAAGCTCGCCAAGATCACGGGCAAGAACTACATTTCAAAGTACGAGGCCCACGCGCCCCGCAAGACCGCCGTCGAGCAGTTCAAGGTCGCCCTCTCCCGCCCCTGGATCCTCCTCTTCAGGGAGCCCATCGTCCTCTTGACCTCCATCTACATGGCCATCGTCTACGGCACCCTCTACATGCTCTTCGCCGCCTTCCCCATCGTCTTCCAGCGCGGCCGCGGCTGGTCCCCTGGCGTCGGCGGCCTGGCCTTCCTCGGCGTCGCCGTCGGCATGGTCTTTGCCGTCGTCTACACCGGCTTCGACAGCCGCCGCTACCTCAAGGTCTCTGCCGCCCACGGCGGCTTCGCCCCGCCCGAGGCCCGTCTCCCGCCATCCATGGTCGGAGCCTGCCTCCTTCCCATCGGCCTCTTCTGGTTCGCCTGGACCAACGGCCCCGAGATCCACTGGGTCGTCTCCATCATCGCCTCGGGCTTCTTCGCCGCGGGTCTCGTCCTCGTCTTCCTCAGCCTGCTCAACTACCTCGTCGACTCGTACGTCATCTTCGCCGCCTCCGTCCTGGCCGCCAACTCGGTCATGCGGTCCCTCTTCGGCGCCGCCTTCCCCCTCTTCACCACGCAAATGTACGAGAACCTCGGCATCCACTGGGCCTCGTCCATCCCGGCCTTCCTCGCCCTCGCCTGTCTGCCGGTCCCCTTCCTCTTTTACAAGTTCGGTCCCGCCATCCGCGCAAAGTGCGCCTTCGCCGCCGAGGCCGCTGAAGTGCTGGAGCGCATGCGCAAGACGCACGAGGAGGTCAACGAGGACGACGCCATGGCCGAGGAGCGGGCGCACGAGAAGGAGCACAAGCGCAGCAAGTCCGTCTCTGCCAGCGACGGCGGTGTTTTGTCCGATGACGAGCGGACCGTCCAGGGTGAGCCTGAGACTCCCAAGGCTTAACTTAGACGACGCATAGATGACATTTCTTCACTACGTATCTGGAGATGGGAGCATGGATAGACAATGATACCCGGAGCGGCACGTGTCACGGCATGATGTTAGCATTTACAAGGAGTTTTGGGCAGTTTTCAGAGCATACTAGACAGGCCACAGGAGCCGACATTAGATACCAGATAGACCCCCCCTCATCTGTATAATCATAGGGTAATAGATCAACACTCAAAGTCAATCGCCCTACAATTCATCCCGCTCCCGCCCGCCAATCTTGATCTTCAGCCCCGGAATGTTCTTCACCTTGAGATTATGCGAGCTCAGAACCCTCACGTTACTCTTCACCGACCCAGCCTTGTCGTCGACGGCCTCCTGCCCCGACGGCATCCACGGCTTGACCCGTCCCTGCCACACGTCCAGCCCCCACCCCTGCAGCTCGCGCGGCGTAAAAGCCTTGCCCTTGGGGTACGGGTAGATCCTCCCGTTAGAGACCTGGTGGACCGCGCCGACGGGGTACGCGTCTTCGGCGACGTCGGGGCCGAGGCCGAGCTTGGCGGGGAGGTCGGGGAAGCGGTTCGGGTCGACTGTGACGGGTGTCAGGGAGGCGTACTGCTTCTTTGCAAAGTCGTGGAGGTCTGCGCGGATGGAGGCGCGGGTTTGCGGGGAGGGCGAGAAGATGTAGACGATTGGCCAGGCGCGCTGTGTTCCGTCAGTATCCTTTATAGCTGCTTCTGCTGTGACAAGGCAAGACATACGTCGATGAATCGCTGGTGGTTCAAGGGCGTCAGCTCCGCGATGACGGGCCTGGACACTTCCAGGATCCAGCCCTCGAGCCCGTCTGCCGCGCTCCGCGTGTGCGTGCTCTCGTCGTCGCGTTTGCGGCACACGACCTTGGCGTCCGCGGATGTTGGCGTATCGACGATGCCAAAGGTGAACTCGGCCCAGTGCTTCTGCGCTACGGCCTCAAAGGCCCGCCGGAGCGCCGGCTCATCTGGACCGAGGTGAGCTACGCAGACAAAAGCGTCGCTATTGCCAAAGGACTCGGCTTCCTCGATTGAGACGCTGGAGACTTGAGGTCGTCGGGCGCGGTCGCTGAAACGTAGAATTCTGGTGGTAGACGTGTTAGCTTTGCTGCGAGGAGGGCTGCAGACTCACTCGTCGCTCGTTATAGGACCTAGGTAGTCTACCGCCGGCTCGCCGTCGCGCAAGAGCTTGACGGAGGGGTAGGCGGTCGCTGGCGCGTCTGCGCAGTGGTCCTCGGCGGCGTCCTCGATCCAGGCCATGGGGAGATTGGCTGAGGATTGCGCTGCTTCCCACTCTGC